AACAGAAAAGGTCCAGGTCCAATATTATGTTAAGCCATCCTGTATGCTTATGCATACCCATACCAAGCAGGTGTTCAGCCGAGATGCACCCAGTAATTCCAAAAAGCATAGCCAACCCATTAGCTCCTCTTCATCCATGCTTGTCTCAGTGGATTCTTCCTTCCTCCATGAAACTATGTGTTGTCCTTTGCTATTCTAGTAGCATCAGACAAGAAAAAAAAATGTAGACAGTTAAATAGTATAACTGTCATTTGAAGAGTCTACAAAATTAGCTTTACAAAAACTCAAGTTTATTTTCAAACTCCCATTACTCTTCACATGAGCCAAACTTAGAGCTTTTAAAGTAGATCAGTAAACAGCCACCAAGTATAAGATGAGATGAGGTGGACAAAAAACTGTGTTCAGAGCTGAATGTGTCATGGCAATCATGCCTCCCCCACAATGCAGATGATTAAAGCTCTTTGTGCTGTTGGATTCAGATCACTCAGTCCAGCGCAATATTCCAAATCCAGTCCAATAAACTCTGCACAAACTTCTCTTTGATTGGTGTTTGGTCACGTGGACACTGAAGGTGCTCTGAGTACAATAAAAAAACAGCAACAACAACAACAAAAAACCTAATAGACTAAAGCTGTCTTTCTATCATTTTATTGTGAACTTTAAAACATTGATGTGTTTCATTTAAACACATAAATGTGTGTTAATTTACCATTTTTGAAAGGTATGTTATAAGGTTCCCATTATACAAAGCTGTGTCTTTCGTGATGAAAGCAACTATAATGTGATGAATTATTTACACACCAGCATTCACATAAAATTGGCCAATCACTGTCCCCACATGCTTGCGTGTAACTGAATTTGACTGTATTGTAATTAATAAGGTGAATTGTTCTCTGTGCAATTTTTCCTGATTTTAACTATGATTATATAGTACTGAAATCAAATGGATTGATATGAAATAAATTCAGTGCAAGGAACAATATTAATATTTGACCATTTGTCTACAAGCAACCTGGAATGATGTTTGTTGTGAACTGGCTCTCATTCTCTTAAGTAAATTATAGAAAACACTGCATCAATAGTGACCAGTTAGTGTAAAGAAAGAAATTAGGATATCAGCACTTAATCTTTTAAAGTATGACAGAAAGCATGGCAGATCATTGTTTTTATTGTAAAATAATAATCTGGAATAAGCAGCAATAGCAAAGAAAAAAACCCCTGAAATTTGTCTTTCCTTTCTTAGTGTTTGCTAAATTCCACCATTTAGTGACCTTTGTTAACATATTCATTCCTTTCCAAAAGAAAAACATTATTATGATATCAAGTGACAATGTTTAATGGGTCTGTGTATACAATACAATAGTGGGCATAAAAGAACAATACTAGGCGTAGGCTCGTCGGTGTCTCGAGGCTAACATAGGGCGAAATAATAAAAACCGATGTAACTTTACACTTTTCCTTTAGTCTGTATGTGCTGCTTTAGTAGGACCATCTCAGCACCAACGACCCCGAAGTGCTAAGGAGAATCTAAAACAGGTGCCGCACAGTTGGTTCTTCCACAGTGGGGGAAGAAAAAACAGCCATGACCCCCTCCCCTCCCGCAGGAATATTACTGACACATTCTCCAGCCAGCTGCGCAGTGAGTCCGCGGATAACATTCAGCATATGTGCAATATATTCAGCATCCACATTCAGCCGCCGCTTCAACAAACTGCATTCTAACTTTGGGAGCATTTTTCTGTGCTGCATTGGTTTAGAATTCGTAATGTGAGACAAGAGACGAGCAAATGAAAGTGTCTCCGCTCGGTTTTCGACACCTTGTGTGTTCTCCGAGTGACGCCACAGCATCTGGAGTGGATTTATACAATAAAATTCTGGCCAGAGATTCAAAGTTTGAAGTATTTTTAATTGAATCCACTCCACCAAATCTGGGAAACTAAAATGTCTCCTGGCAGGAACGTTCAACTACATAGTCATGCTGATCTGCAATGTTCTTTTTCCATATTTTTTTCTTTTTCCATCTCAGTCCTACGTTAAACAGGCATTGTCTTCTTTTGGTCTTCTTCTTTAAATGCACAGAGCAAAAAACGTATTTAAAAAAAATTCTGAATGTTTTTTTTAAATGTTTCAGATACAGTCATGTTGATACCAATATAAAACTGTATAGTTGGTGTGACTAGATCTCGGTGCTACATGTTATAGCACCACATAGCACATGCACTCTGATAGACTGGAAATTGGTTGGATTGTCTGATTCTGTGCAGGATTGATTTTCCGGGACTACTTTGTTTGACAAGGTAAAAATAACTAAACCAAATCAGCTTTGTTCCTCAAGCCTCCATTCTCAGGCCTGTTTCTTTAACATCCACTATGCATCTCCCAGCTCAGATTATTAAGCAGTACAACATCTAACACCAACTTAGCCAACAAAGGAAACAGATCATATCACCCCTGTTCTTAAATCACTGAAATGGCCACCAGGTTTTGAAAGGATGCATTTTAGAATTGGTGCAAGGCGCAAAATGGATTTGAGCTGCTTGTCAAGTAGGAACCACGTGTACTCCTCAGGTCATGACAGACCATTGACTTAAGTTTTCCCAGGATCTGAACTAAACAAGGGAAGGCAACTGATCATTTATGGAACTAAGTTTCATAAATGATCCTGAAAAGTTCCTGAAAATTTTAGATGTGCAAAAGCTGTGGGGACAAAAAAACATGTTTGCTTACTGCAGCTTCCCTATAGAGATCAGCAATCATGGCCTAGCTATTTATCTGTTTTAAATGTCTATTTAAATATTTGTTCAGCTTTATTTAGCTGTTGTATCTGATGTTTAACATTTACTGCTAAGCATGCTGATTATAACATGCAATTACTTTAAGGTAGGGGTCTCTTGTTGTTTAATGTCATTTTCATTACCTCTGTTACCTCTGCACCTTGGGTTATCATTATTGTTAGTAATAATAATGTTTTTCTTGTTCCATGACAATAACAATATTCCAGACCCAAGCGTGGGTCATACCTGCACAACACCAAACCCACTGCTGTGCAACAATGCCCACATTCACATCCCGCAGACAGCAATTTGCTTCTCTCATTCCCCACCACGCCCTGCTTTCGTTCTCAGCCACCTGCAAAACAAACTGCGCTGGAAACTTCACTACAAATTACCCTGTGTCTGCCAAATCCCCCGGGAGCACTGGAAATCAAAACCCCGGATCTCCCTGCCCCCACAGAGACAGCCCTCGGAACCTCACACACAGTATATCCTGACTACATTTAAGCTTATTTACAATCCTGTTTTAGAATTTTATTTTCTAAAGGCACTTTTGGGTAGAGGCCAGCGGAAAGTGACATATAAAAAGAACAACTATCCTTGTTTAAAGAAGCATTTATTTAAACTAGCCCATAGATGACGAATAAAGAGCATATAAAAGTTTGCCGTCATTAACTCCACATGCCTCTGTTAGTTTCAAGTCAATGTGACACCATGAAACTAAGCCCCCATCGCTCCTTAGAAAGAATGAAAACTGAGACCTGTTTCACTTCATGTGAAAATCAAAGGAAGGCACATACCTTAGCAGTGAATAATGATCAACCCCATATACCCAGCAACGCTGTCGTTTTTGGTGCGACAGCGCCTCTTGGTGACAGCGTTGTGCAAGTTCAGCCAGTCAAGAATTTTAGAAAAAGAGAGAGAGTCAATGGCCTATGTGCCAGAAAGATGAGTGCTGAAAGCTCTTTGGAAAAGGGATTAGGAGTGTTTATGTTGGCCAAGTGGCCCACTGCCAGCTGCTCAAGTGTGCAAACTTCTTAAAGCTGCAGAGCTTGGGTTTGGCTATGAATCTTTTCACTCTATTTACCCTCCTCCTGGACTGTATGGGTGTGCTTTGTTAGAGCAGAGGCAGCTCCGCTTCGACCCCCACCTCAGACCAGAAGTGTAAAAAGAAAAAAAAGAGTGCTGGAATAAACCCCAACTTCCGGCCCCGTAAAACCCAGGCGGCCCCAAAGTGTGAACTCTGATGGACTCACGACACATTTGTTTATATATATATATATATATATATATATATGTGTGTGTGTGTGTGTGTGTGTGTGTGTGTCAGCATCAGGATAAGTTCAGACTGGGAGCTGGCTGGGTGCCAGAGTTCTGTGCCCTGGAGCTACATCAGAGCAGGGTTTGTGAGCTGACGTTATGAAATGGGGGTCTGAGGTCAAAGAATAATAAAAGGCAGTCTCAGCCGCTGAACAGCAAATTCCAACTTTTGTTCTTCAGGCTTAGAGGCTTGTTCCCCCCCTCACTTCTAGTACTTCTGTTTGAAGTAGTGCAGTCAAACATGCATGTTCAGTAGCTAAAAGGGAATTTACCATACAAACCTACAGTTCTCATCTTGATTAAGTTTCTTCATCTTTTGAAAATACCAGGACAGCTTAAAATCTGAGTTGCTTTCCCATTATTAAAAAAAAAAAAAAAGGTTCCATGCAAATCTAGTGCTGACTTGTGCCTTGATTTCTAAATGAAGGGGGTGTAACTATTGATAAGGCTGCAGTTTTGTATTCATTATTCTTAACAATTTGAGAGGACAACTATTCCTTTTTCAGAAAACCTATTGCATAATTAGAGGAGGAATGCATTAGATATAAGTGAGAATCAATATTAATACTTTAGTACAAACTGAATTATTACAATTGAACTAATTGTCAGCATAATAAATAATTAAGCTACATTACACATACTAATCTAACACCAGCAAATGACATGGAAACTGCTGTAGTAAATATACTTTTAGTACTGTTTGTAATGTAACACACATATTTTTAGTAATAATTAACAGACAGATGATAAAGATTCAAACTGTCAGCTAGCAGAAAGGTTATTGCATATTTCCTTCACATGAAAATAAAGACAAACTGTGGTGTTTGAAGCCATTTCTCATTACAAACAAAAATGGTGAAAGAAAACATTTTTACATTACTATTTCAGAGGAAATTTCGGACACTCCCACTTTCAGTTTCAATTTAATCTGGACCAAGCAGAAAACAATATTACTTTCACACAAGTCACTTTTCCATGTAGATTTTGCTAAAAACATCATGTATTTCAGATATCAATCTAATTTTAACAACATTCTTATATTGTAACACTTCAAAAGGTAAACAAACCAATGAAACTGAGCACCTGTTCATTCTTCATTCAGGCTGTTCAAACTCAACTCACAACAAAGTCGTCAGGCACTTAATGTGACTTTGATCATCAATCAATAAATGATTTAAAAAATATACCCCATTCTGTTTCACATGTAGCAGGAGGTAAGATAAAGATTAAATGGGTTACACATATTGCACACCTAGTTACTGTAAACAATCACACTTAGCACTGTCAGCCTCTGGACAAATAGGTATGAGGTGCATTATGGCAGCAAAATAACAAATACAAACAAATACATTAAAATCTCTTAAATACAGTTTAAACTTGAATGGTTCTAACAGCGTAAGAAGCTCAGGTTTATTGTTCCTGGTGGAAAAGCCTAATGTCTTACTGTAGTGCAATAGATCTAAAACGTTGACCTAATATAGTTCAGATGAGACATGTTCCTGATTGTGAAGCTGTATGGAGGATTTGAAATTCACTTCATGACAGCTACTAATGGATCTGAATCAAGCTTCATGTACTTTGCTGTGAAACAGTTACTTGCCCTCCTAGAGATTTCTGTGTCACAATGTTTTAAGTCATCAAACCAATTTCACGGTCAGAAAAATGAACCATTAGGGAGCACATTCAGTTTCACAGACCATGCCCAAGCCAGATTACTGCCACATCACGTCTGGTTGTAAAGAATTCATCACCAGATGAAACAAAGTTTGTCACGACAGTAGTCGTCAGTCTGGAAAGGGTTTCAGAGCCGTTTCGGTGGTGTAATGGTCTGGGAGCGGCTTCGCTGTTTTAGGATCTGAATGATTTAACATTACTGATGAAATCATGAATTATCTCATCCTGAGGAAGAATTTCTGCCATCAGCTCAGGACAATAAGCTCGAGTGCACTTGGACAATGATTGAGAGCACACCACTAAGTTCACCTCTGAATGTCTAAAACAAATAAAAGAAAAAAATGTACTCTTATAACAGCGATTATTGAAAAACTAACTTACAACGTACTGAATTGTCTGATAGCGACATAACCAGGAGGCATAACCCGTTATAAGGCTTAAGGGGAATTACGTTTTCACATAGAGCCAGGTTGGTTTGGAAAGGTTTTCCCCCAAAGTGTATTAAATCAAATTATATGTGACACCATCTTCAAATATTCTCTTTGTACAGGATGGGTTTCTTTTTTTTCTGACAATAAAATGAGCTTGCAGCGCTGAAAAATGAGAGACAAAAAAAAAAAAAAAACTAAAGTCAAAGAAATCTGTAAGAGGTTAAATATACTTTCACTGCAATAAAGTTTTGATTCAACTGAAATTCACTGCCGGTATTCAGACACAAATTTTCTTAAGCAAAGACTTTTAGCTCCAGTCTTATTTTCATCTTGTATTTATATTTCACCCAAATATAAAAGGATTTTAGATTTTTCTTCACCTGATCTATCCAGGTTCTTAAAGTTGTTTAGCTACGGTGTGTCTGTGTTGTGTTGGAAGAGGAGACGGATGACTGCGAAACAGTTGGTGAGACTACTCCGCTAACCCTAGTTTTGAAGTAAATCAAATAAAATAATGGCAGAACAATCCCTATTAACAGCATGGCTACTAAAGCGTTCCACCACTGGATTCCCCAGTCCGCGCCGTGACTCATCACACGCCGTCTTCCAAAACCGCATCTCCTCCATCTCCCAGCGTTTTCTGAGAAATCTTCTTCATGGTCAGGGGTGGTCTGAATCAGTTTGTCCATGTCGCTGTCTACCTCCATCAGAAAGTCTGTGACATCCCGCACACGTGGCTCAAATGGAGCTCTATCATGAGTGGAACAAGGTACTTCCTCTTGAGGATCATGTTGTTCTGAGAGTGTTTCTGTCAAAAAGCTGTGCTTCTGAACTGGTATTTTGATAACTTTCAGTGCAAACAAATCTTGTTCTTGCATAAGGTTGTTAACCCGTTTTAAGTCAGCAACCTGTGGAGATAAATATGACCTGTTGAAACCCTATTTTTTTTTTTAAATAAAGAAAGCTACAAGACTGTGTGTTTTGTTTTACCTTGCAGCCATATTGCAGGGCAAGCTTGTTGAGGCTATCGCCGTCTAAAACCTCTCGCTCCAGCAGCTGGACATTCCTCACATTGTCTCGCTTCATCCGCCTTGTCTCCACAACGCTGAGCTCCTCATCGTCCGAGGACACAGCGGACTCATTTGTCCTCCTCTTGAACATGTACACCTGCCCGTCTGCACTGGCATGAACATCCACAGGGGCCTGGAACGCCTGCGGGCCATGCTCCCCCCTCCACATAACGACACATCAACCTGTGAATAAATAACCCGAATCACTACAGGGCGGTTACTCCAAGATTTCACAGCCTCGTCATTTAAATGATTTCCTTTTAGTGATTCTGTGTAATGTAATAGTTTGGTGCAAGAAAGCATATCTGCTAAATATTGGGCTGGCACAAGTGAGAGATGAGGAAGCAACTTTTAAGCAATATGGCAATTTATTTGTTATTTAGCAACTGCACAACAATGGTTCATCTTGAAATAAAGCAAATTAGATTTATATCAGGTTATTTTCACATCTCTGTGGTCATACTAACCGTCTTACATGCTTCCCAAATAGAGCAGCTCAATCCCTGATGTGAATTATTATAAAAACACCAACAGGGAGGCCTGGAGTTGGTCCTCCAAAATAAAAGTAAATTTTCAGCTAATGTTAATAGCATATTTTCACAAAATATACATAGTACTATACACATTTGCATTTGGAAAATATTACTATAAAAGATACAGCTACAACTAGAGATTTGACAAGTCTTCCAGAGACTAGTAAAACAAAAACAAATCATATAGAAAGTAAGCAAAAGATTCACCATGGTAGTTTTAGTACAATCATGTCATTGATTAGTCTACCTCAAAAACCATTTTGTATATAACCTAAATACCAAAAAATTGTTTCAAATCTCATTTTGGTGCTTAATTAGCTAGTGCAGCATCTAAATTCCATCCAACAGAGTTAATTTATTTATAATTACATCACAAAGTATTTCTATTTTTTTAACTGTTGGACAACATTTTTGTATATTAACCCATAGTTGAAACTATAAAAACTGTATCAATTTTAATTTACACACAGAATCAATATCGATTGGTATTTCAGAGGTTCGTACAATGCTCTGAAATAAAATACTTCATTTGAAATTCCATTCGATTGAACATTTTGCGGACATGCGGTAATTTATGGATTTTATCCACATAGTAGATATTTAGCTTTGTATTTCATTAAACAGCGCCCACACCTTATTCACTTCTATCATAGCACGAAACTCTAATTTAAGACGTCTATTATTGCTTTAAAAGCTCCAGGTAATCATTAAATTCAACCAGCAACCCGTGGACTTTCAAAGTTATTCGTACATGATATATTAAATTTACCCGCAAAAAGATAAGTTAAATTGCAAATTTATAACTACATAAAAGCAGGATTTACTGTGATTTGAATTGCCAATCGCACTTGCTCCTTGGGGCGCTAATACGTGATAAAAAAATAAAGTGACAACAAAAGTCAACTCGATAATAGAGAAATTCCCGGAGCTCAAACCGAGCATTTGAATGCAGCACAAACTTTGGCTAACAACTTTAGCTTTAGCTATTCCTCATCTGTTGGCAAACTTTCTGCCACATCGACCTGTCTATTTCGGCCATAAATACAGCCTAACTATGTAGTTACACCATAAGGAAACGTTCTACTTAACGGTAACTAGTTATTTAAATCCATTTGTACCTCATTACCTTGTGCTTTGGCAACTGTAGCAAATCGCTCCTTCCAGGTTGGCCTTGTTAGCTCTGGACGAGTTGCTACTGTTGCTACTGGTTAGCCCACTTTTTCGTGGGACTGCACCAGATTGTCACGTCGAAGAAATATGCAATGTCGCCACCTCCTGGACTCCAACTGCAAATTACAAGCCATTTCTATATCGAACAAAAAGTCAATTTTTCTGTACATTAAGTATGTGAATAGAATAATCATACTTAACAGAAATAAACAAAATACGATAAAAAATAAAAACGACATATAAGTTTTACTTTTAAGTAAAACCAGCAACCTCATAGTTGTTGAAATAATAATAATAATAATAATAATAATAATAATAATAATAATAATAATAATAACAATAATAATATACTTTTAAAATACTTTCTTGTTCATTTAGGGCCATGTGTTAATATCAAAACTTTGCACACATGACTCAAGTTGTATTCATAAAATACAATCACTATTATGACAATGCAGCTCTCTTTCAGTACACACAAATATTTCAAAACACTACCAGTTAAATGAAAAGTGTATAAAAAGTAGGTATTACCACTTTAATGGTTTTGAATAGGAGTCTTATTCTGTTCATTCTTCTTGTCAAACTCTTATCTCGTTATAAAAACTTTTCTTTACATCTTTTTAGGCAATATATGTTCATCGTGTCCATAAAGTGACACACACTCAGACAGAGAGAATTCCTCAGTGAAGTTAGCTGTCAGCACTGCCATATGTCAACCCAGAAAAAAAAAAAAAACAAAAAAAAAAACTCACACCTCCTGGTGAGAACATATCAACAGTCTTGCAGTATGGCACACAGACAGGTACCAGCTGTCCTACATCACATAATCTAAGGATCTGGTTGTTGACTTAAAAAGGTGGCAAAGATAAAGTACCTCTCTAGATATATTTTAGTGGAGGTGTAGGAGGTCAACAGTTTTAGGTTCCCTTGAAATAACTATCATAGTGAATTTGATCATCTCATATGTCCACCAAATGCTTTGAAACAGATGTATGTCTCGAAGAAGGCACACCAGCTAAGACACACAAACTCCCTTGCCAAATTAACTTCTACAAAACAGTGATTCAAACCGTCCCAACTCAGAACTACTGCAAAAAAGGCCCAACAGTAGGTATAATTAAAACTGCCTGGAGCAGCTTCATATCATGCCCAAGAAATATCAGAGATATTAATGATCTGAGGGGGGACAGAGCCCAGAAGACACAAAATCTTTTTAGTCACAGCTTCTTCTCATTGCTGAGCTGTGCATGCAGAATGACCTACTGCTGAAGCAGATATGTTTGAATTTATTTTCTGCTCTCCACCATAACTATTACAACACTTCATGTCTTTGATTTAACAGTGTATTCACTCATTTATGAGTTGGGCTGAGGGGGTGCTCGAAGCTGACTGTCACAGGATCAGAAACCAGGCTACTGGTGAGTCCTTTCTTGGCCACTAGGTGGGGGTGTTGACCTTTCATATGAGCTACTAGATAGCCAGCATGTTTTAGATTTTTGCTAAAGGCTAATGTTTGTGTCATATCATACATTTATTGTGTCTTTTTCAAGACTTTTTACCACTGAAGACAACATAGAATGTTAGACATAACTCACTAAATTCTTTGTTAGTTTCTTTTAAATGTCTGTCATTGGGCTTTGATGTCCTGAGAGTGAATTTAATGGCTAACACAAGTTTGTATTAGCCTCATATACAAAACTGTGTGAATATTTTCAAATATATTCCCATGTTAACTTTGCCAGAAAAGGGGAGAATTTGAAAACGGCACAGCAGCATTTGCCTACAGATTGTAGAGCGGTATTCTGTGCCCATAGAAGATCAGCAAGCGATTTTTAATTTTAAACAGTAACAAAAAGTTCAGTCTATCTTTGAGCAGATTCTTGTGGAAGTTAGAAAAGTGGAGATTTAAACCTGCCTTGAGCCATCATTTCCAAAGTGACATATTTCAGATCATTGATTTACTAAACAGTTTTGATAAAAACAAAGCATAGTCCACAGAAGTTGGTTCAGCTCTTCTGAAACAACCCATGATTGCAGAGAATCATAGGTCATGTAAGCTAAACATATTCTGTCTTTGACAGTTTTTTTTTTTTTTTTATTAAAATGGCAATGGAAAGATTTAAAGGTTATATGCCATTTTGATAGATTACAGATTACATTTCTGAACATTTGGTCCACATGTGCAGATATTTCCAACTTTACACACCAAATATAGGTAACTAAATCAATTGAAGAAAGATTCTAATGAAAGTACCTAAGCATCATATCAGACCTAGAGACCATACTCCGTTCATCTCACTATCCAGGGACTGACAGTGTGTTAAGTTATGGAGGCTTTGTAATGCGTGCAGTAGGAATTCCTCCTGATAAAACGAGTGCTTGCGGGATCAGTAAGTCCCTTGATCGGAGAGTCTTTCTAACTTCTAATCACTTCAACTGGAGAAATGCTCCCTGGTTTGACTGAAGTGGCACCTGTAATTTCAGTCTCCAGTGTGTCAGCCTGCAGAACATTAAAACACCCATGAAAGTTAAGTCCAAAGTCTTGTGACAAGAGCCTCTGCAGCAATCTCTTTTGAGACATTTGATTACATGGGTGCGCTATTCAGTTCTATGCTGACAAGGAGGACATTGTGAGACTGTATATTCATGCCACTGCAGGTGAATCAGTCATAATTTAAGTTGAGTAATTTATTTAATTGTTTATATCTAGTTATTGGAGCCACAGAGATTTTCGTCACTGTAGAGAAAACATTACATTCATCTGCTTGATGTATGATGACAGACTCATTGTTCAGCTTGCTCAATATTAGTTAAAATTAATACAAATTAAATACTATTGGAGATTTTACACTACCAGTCAAAATGACAGACAACCTCTGGAGAGAATACTACCTAACTTTCTTGCATGAGCTGTAAAATTTGAAATGTGATTACTATTCTGCATTCAGCTCACAAAGATTTTTCTCTTTGCCTTCGATAATCAATATCCTTCATGGAATTTATGTTTGACCGTCTCAGAAAACTAGTTGTCAGTCATTCTTTTTGCAACCCCAAATCTACATTAGAGTGCAACATCTCACCTTGCAATTGCGAACAGTGTGCAAAGTTTTTTTGTTTGTTTGTGATTTGGCAATCTAACAGTAATTGAGTCACACTCCACGAGGTGTGTGCTAATGAAGGTTAATTAGACTGAGACTTTAGTCATAGCTTGAAATGTATTTAAAAACTTAATTTAAACCATTTAGTTGCCCACAGAACATGTCTTTGACATTTATACACCCCTGTGGTCAGTACACATGCATCTTAATGAAAGGAAGCCCAGGATGAACCCATTGTTGTGATTTTATTTGCAGGTTTCTTACAGTGATCAGTACCTCACCACTCTGCTCAGATGGTATTACTTCTGGCAGGTAGTAATACCATCTGGCAGGTAGTAATACCTAAATGGCACCTTTCAAAGGGAGTGAAATATGGTCAGTGCCAGTTCAGGCATGAATGGTGCCCTGGTCAAGTCCTGTTTTTTTTGCTGTCCCCAGATCAATTAAAATGCAGGGAATTATTTCAGGTCTTGGGAGGAGAAGACGGGATAAATCTGCAGTTCCACACAAACCCTGTATCTTTGTCTCCCTGTTAGAGGGCTGTAACTCCACATTGACTGGAGTTACACCTTGGACTGATCAACAGTCAGGGCATCACAACACAAACCATCATGTACACGTATGAATCCTGGCACGGAGCTGACACCTGTCTCCAGGTTTCATTGGGCAAAAGACAGTGCACACCCTGCACAGTTTTGCAATTCAGCAAAGGGTAACACAGAGACATACAGGACTCTTGTAAGAACTTTAGAAAAACAAAGATAGCATGCATGTTATTTAAAGTGTGGGAGGAAGTCAGAGTACACAAGACGAACATGCAAATTCCTTGCATGGATTTTAACTTGCTGTCCATTTTGACCCAATTTAATTTTGCTTTTGTTTGCACCTACCATAAACAGTTGCTTTGTTGTCTTGGCCATCTAAAGAGAGTGCGGCTTTCTCAACTGAGGATGTCTACCTTTTTGGTTTGAATCATTAATATTATAATATCAATCATACATGCACATTATAAAGAAGGTATAGTCTACAGTTTATATTATTTATTTTAATTTTTATACATCCTGGGATCACGTTTCTTGAAATGTGAAATATCAACATCTAACGACATAAGAAGACATTGAAAGGTTTGGACAAACTGTCAAAGAGGCCACACATTGTTTCTTCATGGCAACCACTTTTTAATATAACACACAGCTCACTCTGAATTGAACAGCCTTGATTTGTGACTGATAGAGGGATAAACAGAAAGTGAAACTGTTTAAACATGATATAATACCATCCAAGTATTTGCTAATTTTGACCTATGGCATTCAGTTGACTTTGTCAACAAAGTAACATTGTAAACTAAAAACATCCAATTTTATGTCAGGATGTAAAACCATAGTTTAATTAAAATATAAAGTCAACAATTCCAGATATTGTGCTTGTTTTGCTATTTGACAGTTTAATCAAATGACTAGAACATTGCTTTTGATATTTTTTACTTTGTGAGTATGGCCTCTGCATTGCTTTAGAGTGGAGCTTGCTGCCGAGTTCATTGTCTCATGGCAGAACACTTGATTGTCTCATGAAGTCAACCTTTGCACTCGAAAAAGCTGAATGATGGTAAAGTTAATGTTGCCTCAGAGGGAATCATCATATCATTTACATTGCATTCAGATTCAGGGTGTAGCACCGAGCGATGATCAACAGTGCGGCATGATGCGCCATATTTCAGGGCCACTGAGCAGCTTGTCCAGCTCATGGAGAGAGAAATAAGAGAGAGAGAGAGAGAGAGAGGGAAAAAGAGAGAGAGAGGGAGAGGGGGCCGGAGGACAAGGGTGGGGAGTGAGTTTTAGCAGATAAAGAAGGAAATCATGTTGTCTGCAGAGCACCAGAAAGGGTTTGGTTTTAAATGATTTAACACTCAGATTAAATATTTATTGGGGTGAAACATTCATGCACACCACATCTCTGAACTCATT